GTCGTTATTACTTTTGCAGGTTAGCTTCTTGCTAATGCTATATGAACATCAAAAGCAGCAGTAGTAGTAGGGGACAACATATTTTTTTAGAAGTGTTACAGTGATAACAGGGGAGTTGTAAAGCAGCAGGTTGATAGAGCTTATTAATATGGACTGGACATTAACGATAAAATAGCCCGCTCCATCAGAAAGGGTGCGTTTGATTTGTGTTTCCGCTGTGATTGAAGCTGTCTGTGCTAACAAGAACTAGCTCAGTTAGCGCGCAGGCCTCATCTGCAGACTTCACATATCATTTAACTTCCGTTAACAATCATAGTAATAACACGCTGGAAGTATTATAAATGCAACTCATTTGCTATTGAGAAAGTTGCCCCGTGAAATAGCCTAACCCAGGGGTTCCCAAACTTTGCCATGCCAAGGGCCCCCATAGCATTATTCTCTGGCGGGGACCCCCTTGTTGCAATTTTTTTTTTTAAATGATGAGTACATTATGATGGAAAATATGACAAATTAATAATACAGCTTGATACATTTTCTTAATATATATTTGTATTGCTAATTATAATCAGTTATTCTTCTAAACATTTTTTGTATTTATCTTTTGTTTGTCATTCATTACATGATTGATTGTGTCTTCTTTTATAAACATTCTTAACATAATATTAAACAGTAATATCAACAGTAAACATATTTTTAAAGCATTTTTAAAGTGATTTCTGTCTTTGTAATATTATATAATTTTGAACAGTTGACAACTCCGCCCCTCTCTTTACCCGAGTGTCCAAAACATACGGCCTCAGGTCCGATGATACGATAACGAAATCGATCATGGACCTTCTGCCTAGGGTGCTCTGGTACCACGTACACTTATGAGCATCCTTATGTTCGAACATGGTGTTTGTTATGGCCAATCCATGACTAGCACAGAAGTCCAGTAACAAACCACCACTCCGGTTCAGAGCAGGGGGGCTGTTCCTCCCAATCACTCCCCTCCAAGTTTCTTCATCATTGCCCACATGTGCGTTGAAGTCTCCCAGCAAGATTAAAGAGTCCCCTTCAGGAGCCCCATACAGGACTCTTTCCAGGGTCTCCAAGAAGGCCGTATACTCTGAACTGCTGTTGGGTGCATAAGCTAGACCCTCCAGAAAAACTCGATTCTGCGATCGCAGAATTTACCGCATAATCAGCAAAATGGCGCAGATTTTTAAAAGGCCGCATATTTATCAAAAGGCCGCATAATCCCCACATTTTTCCACACAAAATTGAGAAAAAAATAAGTTGACTCGTCTTGACGTGACGTCATCAGCTCGCACATCACAGAATGTAAACAACACTGTATAGAGTGAACGTGTGGAGCTCACACGATAGAGAAAACACCAAGATGAAAAAATCTAATCCATCTCATTTACCGACGAACATTTCTACTAAAGACCGGGCAAAAAGTGGGGGGAAACTATTCTGCACCCCGTGCAACTGTGTGTTGGNGCTTTTTACCGGGCCATCATGTCTTCTCGAAACGGAAGACCGAGTCGAGGGAAAGGCAGTGTTTGCCACCGTCATTTCGCTGACGTCGATGGCGAAGGGCGACGAGGCTAAGAGGCTGGGTAGAGTGCGAGGTAACAAGGGAGTGAGGTTCTTGTTCTTGGGTCTCTATGAACTATGAGGAAGTGAACCCCATTCCTGAGTCAAAGGCGATGAACCTCACCTGTCAGGTAGCCAAAGGACGACTCTTGGTACCGGAGTCTAAACCTCCCACGACTAGGAGTAGGGTCGGCGAAGGTGTGTAGATGACCAACGTCTGTACGGCATAGGATCACTCAGGTACTTCCCTGCGGCCTCTTCGGTTCTTTGGTAAATCTTGGTGTAGTAGACGTTTTTCGTAACCACGTTAGGAAGTCAGGTCGCTTGACGGTCTAGGTGGAGGGGGTGCTGATGCGGAGCCTTTAGGTAGGTTACCATATAATTGTTTTGTCCTAATGCCACTGTTTCGCGTCGGGACCGCCTCGGGTGTGGGAGTGGACTTTTACCAGGCCTGAATGACGGCTCTGGGCGCTGGTGTTCGAGAGCGAAACCTCCAGTCTCTAACCTACCGGGACTCATCCTCTGGGGGAGTGGGTATGAGGGCGTCGTGGAGGGTGGCGACTGAGGGACCCTTGGGCCAGTATAGTCCGGAAGAGGTTCAGAATGTTTGTCGTGACATATCTGACCTATCACATGAGGTCCCGGGGGAGCGTCCTAGGAACGCCCCCATTTTTTCGACTAGGCAGCAAGGTGCTGGTCCTGCTTTACGGCGTACCAAGGAGCAGTTGCCGACTTCCAAGCCTGTTAGACCGGAACTGGGAGGAAAGCTCATGGAAATCTCATTTGAAAGTTCACCTCCGACCTCCTCATCACACTACGAAGAGAGACAGATTAATCGTGTGTGGGGAGACTAAGGGGGAAAAAACTTTTCCCCTTGTGTTGGGGGCAGACGGTGAGGAAGCCAATGACAAAGGCTGGACACGGTGCGTTGCACTACCTCTGTCACAGTTGGTAACTGTCAGGGAGTTGTGGGTTGGAAGTCGTAAAGACGCCTAGAGTGGTCGGGGGCCCGACCGCGTCGCCACTTCCGAACGTGCCCTGGCAGTCCACTGGACGGGGGCCGCTTCTAACCCACAAGCTAGGGGGCAGGTATTGAAGGTCGAGACGGCAGATTGTATCTCCCGCCTCAACAGCCAAGTCCTCAGGAGTTGACGAGAAGGTTGCCGGGATTGTGAGGTAGTCAACTCCAGTTTGTTGCAGGGTAGGAACACATGTGTCGAACCCTACAAGGGACGAGAAGGGGAGGAACTACACGCCTGTCAAAGGTCTGCCTTGAACCAGGCGAACGGCTTTAGAAAAGGTACAGAAAGAGGCTTGAAGAGGGTGTGGGCACGAAACGGAGTCGGCGCTGCCGACGTCCGACGACGGGACAGGCCCGACAGCATGGAACGTTACGGAAGCCTCAGGGGGCCTCACCTATGGTCATGAAGGATGGGTCATGACCGAAAGAACGAGATCGCGGGTACAAGCGGCCGAGATGGGTTTTCTCCGCAGGGTGGCTGGTGTCTCCCTTAGGGATAAGGTGAGAAGTTCGGTCATCCGGGAGGGACTCGGAGTTGAACCGCTCCTCCTTCGCGTCGAAAGGAGCCAGTTGAGGTGGTTCGGGCACCTAGTTAGGATGCCACCTGGGCGCCTCCCTAGGGAGGTGTTCCAGGCATGTCCAGCTGGGAAGAGACCAAGGGGTAGACCTAGAACCAGGTGGAGGGATTATATCTCTTCGCTGTTCTGGGAGCGCCTTGGGATCCCCCAGTCAGAGCTGGTTGATGTGGCCAGGGAAAAGAAAGTTTGGGGCTCTCTGCTGGAACTGCTACCTCCGCGACCCGACCACGGATAAGCGGGAGAAGATGGATGGATGGATGGATAATTTTGAACAGTAATATGAACAATGAACATATATTTTTTTGCATTTTTGAAAGCTATTTATGCCTTAATAATATTATATATAATATTCAACAGTAATATTTGCTACATCCGTGCACTCATCCAGATGCATAGCGAAATATTCACTAGCTCTCACTTGCTCCAAAAGCTCGATTCTGATTTGCTTGAAGGGCGGTCGTGTGATTTAAAAACAAAAATATTAATAAATACAAAATATTAAAATATTAGCATCAAAGGACACATAGATTGATAGATATGCAGTTATTAATAACATGAACAACAAAAAAAGTAACTTAAAAAAATAATAATTCCCCTTTCCCTCAAACTTTGCGTGACCCCCCTGGCGGCCCCCCGGGGGGTCGGGGCCCCCACTTTGTAAAACACTGGCCTAACCGACTATAAGGTCTAACAACGTAAAAGCTACATTTATATAGATTCCTGGCTAGCACTTTGCCTTTTCAACAGTTTTATTATAGGCCTACATATTATTGACATTGCTTTACATTAATACATCTGCTATATTTATTTTTCTCGTCTTTGCGACATTAAACTAAAATAAATTATTTGCATGTAAAGGTTGACAATCAACAATATTCTCATCCTGCATTCAGAAAGTACAAAGTCCACTTTAAAAAAAAAAAAATCTAATTAAGTAGGCCTACTTAATTTATCAATGAGCTGGTCATGTGTTTATTTTGTAGATTGTATCTTGAAGTCCTTTCAAATGCCCACAAAACTCAAATGAACCAATTAAAATGTTTTCCTTTTGGTTGGTCAGGCCTTCAACCAAGACTATGATGGGAGGAAGAGCCGCTTGTTCTAAACTCATAGCTTTATACTTCACAAAACGTCAACAAGACTGGCGTTGCTTTTCACAATCTTTCATGTAGCCCAATTGTGTATATGTTAGTTACTTACTACAATCATTTCTAATACAAACTCATTCAAAAATCTTCTACACTTGGTTACTTGATCTGTGTTTTATCCTCATGGCCTTGTGTATGCATTATAAGCAGGGAGGGAGTCTCATATCAAATGACCTCGCTTTAAAAATCTGGTTTGTAAAGTAACTAGAGGTCAGATAAATGTAGCTGAGTACAAAATCCAACATTCTTATTAAGTAGAGCCAGAGATGTATAACGTTGCATGGAATGGAGATATTCAATTAAAGCACAAGTAAAGTAGTTTAAAACACATTTAACTGCAGTTCAGTTCATACATTTCACTGAGTATAACATTTAAAGTGGTTGGATTAAATGTAGGATGGTGCTGTCTGTACTTCAGTGTATGTTGTTATCCTAAAACCTGCCAGATAACTACATACTGTACAACTCCACTACTCATACTCTGATACAGAGTTATTCTCCTAATCAATACTGTACAATAAAAAGTTGAGTATTTTGTCAATTCAACTCAGGTTTTTCCCTACAACAAACAATACAGACATCTCATAGAAGTTGAAAACAACATGACCATAAAATGTTCCGGTAGAATTGTGAAAAAAGTGATTTTCATTAATATCAAATAAACATCACAAATTGTGTTTGCATTATTGGATTTTATTAGGAGATGGATAATACTAAATGTTTAAAAAAAAGTTCTTAAAGGAAAGCTAGTTCAAACTTTTGACGTACAAAGATTGCCGTCACGTCAGAGATGGTACAAACAGCAGGTTTATGAACATTGTAGTAAAATACTTATTGGTGTATTTTGGCAAAAATCTACTCCATTGGGCTGTCAAAAACTTGTGTTGTGGATAATTCATAGGATTCGGTTCACTTTGGAAGCTGTGTTTTGTGCAAAGTGAGAAAGTAACCAAGTAACCACTCCATTTCAAAAAGCCTTCTCTTGATTGTGCTGTACGATCATTTCACAAACAGAAATCTTGCTTCATCACAGTGATAATGACAACAATTCCAATCTGTGAAGCAGAAATAAACTTTTATTTTTTTTAAATCAAGCTGCTTCATAGTTTCAATCATTGAAAACCGTGGTGAAATAAAATGTATGCCACTTAAAACAGGCAGACTGCACTATAAATAGTCTTTCTTCTAGTACAACTAATCAGCTGGTATTGGAAACCTTCACATATATCTTCTGGATGTTACTTTGTTAATTCTTTGAAAATAATTCATAGAAAAGTATATACTCTCTGTAAACACACACAAATGAAAGTATAAAATAATTCAGGTTGACATTTATGTTATTATTTCATCTGGTAGTTTATCTGTAATTACAAAAAAATACAGCAGTTAACATTTGACTAAATGATATGGCAGAACACTTCTTGCAAAGCCTCGTTGTGTACCTGGTGTCACAAACACTAAAGAAAGCATCATGCACATATCTCAATGTGAATATAATAATCTACATACGTGACATTAGTTAAGACTCTTACAGCATTAAGACCTCTCAGTGACGCTTATTTTAATAACAAATTAGTCGCCAATCAAGCAACAGAGTTGTTGTTTTGTTTTTCCACATAAAAAGAAAGAAAGAGTGAAGACATCTGAGATGGATCTTTACACATACAATAGAAAATAGGTTCTTCGGCTCTACAAAAATCGGTCAAATTTGATTTTTATCTTGACCTCGACATGGAGGCGACCTTTTTACAAGAACAGATTGATAGATTACTGCGATAAAGAAATATAAAAAACCTTTCCAAATGTGATTGGAAGAAAGGGAGTCCTCCTGATTCACAGGCACCCACCACAATTGACATTTGTTTCCCTCTCCTTATACACTCCTCTGTCACCCGGCTGTCATGGCCGCTCAGACTCTACGTCGGTTGGTCTAATGGTCGTGGAAGCCTGGCATGGGGAAGGGCCTGGCAAAAGCTTCAACGCGGTGGCGCAGGTTGGCAATGCGAGCCACGGTCTCAGAGTCCTGGAGAAGAAAGTTCTTGAAGTCCAGGAGCTTTCCTAGAGAAGACAGCAGTATAGAGAGAAGGAAGCTCAGCATACTACGACTGCCGTTTCAGCATTTTATAATTTAATATGAAATACAGCCTTTTGTACTTTTGTTGCTTTTCTAACGACTTTGTGCTTACCTGTCTTCTTCTTGACGTCCAAGGCAATCTTGAAGCCTTCATCCATGAACTCAACAACTTGCACAAAGTCAGCTTCTTTGAACTGTCTGGATGTCAGGGCTGGAGTACCTGGGAAGGAAAGAGAACACAACATCTGCATCTTAAAACACAAAGTAATGACTGGAAATGGCGTTTTCTCGCTTTTACAGGTTGAACGCTCTCCAATAAAGTTTTTTGCATTTCCTTCCATTAAGAACCTTATGGCTAGAAGGTAAAAGGAGTATCGCCTAAAGACAATGCTATAAATGTGGCAGCGGAGATGTGGAGCTCTTGAACTTCCTGGAAGATGATTAAAAACACAAACATATTTAATAAACCATGATCTGCTTAGTGCTTGTGGCTTAATCGGTGGCTGACTAATTTCCATCTGCAGAACTACATTTTTACATAGTGAGGGAAACAGAATAAGAAAAAAAAAGGCAAAGTGCAAAATACATTTTACAAAGAAAAACCTTAACTATTATTTGAATATGTGATGCAATATGCTGAAAAGCTGACCAATATTTCAACACATTATCTTGACAAAGTTACCAAGTATTAAAAAGGTAACAACTTTTTGAATAAACAGATCAGAATAACTTTCTTTCGTCGTTACATAATAATAATAATAAGTAAAACAGAGCTTGTCTAAGTCCAGTTAAATGTAGAGTGAAGCTGCTTCTCACCCAGCCTGAGGCCCCCAGGACTCAGCGCGCTCTTGTCCCCGGGGCAGGTGTTCTTATTGGCTGTGATGGACACCAGCTCCAGCACGCGCTCGGCCCGCGCTCCATCAATGCCCTTAGGCCGCAGATCAACCAGGACAAGGTGGTTATCAGTCCCATCTGAAATATTCAACATTTTTAGAAAAAGAAATTGAAGAGGAGGAAAGTCTGAGACTTCGTAGACACAATCTTCACTTTTAAACCTTTACTTTAGTTTATGAATGAGGTAATGTTATTTGATATGAAACTGAGCAGTTAATGATGAAACTCAAATAATTGTTAGGTAGTTGGCTTTTGGCACCTCCAATGCTTGACTTCTTTCTCATGCATTTGTCCATGTTTGTCTTTATATCTGCTTTATTTTCATAGTAAACTAAAATATTACTCATTGACTGCCATTATGATAAAGCACAGCTTACTTCGGGCCTGCAGGAAATGAACAAACAGGAATTATTTTATTGTTTCATATTTGCTTAGTACAAGCACCACATTTCCCCTAAGTTATCAGTTCATATAAAGTGCATTACACATTATACAGACAAAGAGGCGTTTCAATATGTTGTTAAACCCTTTTGTATCACACATTCTAATCAACACCTCTCTCAAATCGTGTCAACTAAAAATGGATTGTAACAGTAAAAAACCTTGTTTCAGTTTTTTACATCTACAAAGGGATTGAAAAAAGGAGCATGCACACAATGCAGTGTAAGCACAGGACAAGTCTGTATTTTTAAGGGTATACATTGAAGGCCATACATCAAAAAAGAGCTGAGGCCAGCAAATGAAATGCAGTACAAGATTCCAGCACTTGCTCACTACCAGAAAGTGACTGCCTTCATCTGGTTTTATTCCCTTGACTGACAGGACAGCTGCACTGACATTAGCCTATTTGCACATCATGAATTTAAATGCTTTTCTGTTGCATTATTTGCATTTTGTGGCAGGACATTTCTGTTTATTGACTGTGTTATGTGTTCTTCTGTGTTTCTTTCTGCTGTTAGCAGAGCCAGTGTCTCAAACGAATGCTTAAATACAAGTTCCATTACCTGATACCAGGGTGTAGCCTTTGCTGAGCAGAGCTGTAGCCATAGCCTTGGAGTTCACTATAACCTGGCCGATATACTCCTTGAACATGGGAGACATTGTCTGGAAACAAAATACCAAGATTTTAAGTTTGAGGTCAAAAAACTATTAATGATTTTTTTTTAAAAACTAAATAAACATATATTGGTACAAGTCAGTAGCTGCCTTGCACAGCGTTATGCTCCAGATAGCTCACAATTCAGAAAGAGAAGGAGCAGATGCCTAGAGCAGGGTTAGGGAACAAGTTCTTGAGTCAAGTTGCACCTCAGCGGTAAGATTAAGTTTCATTGCAAAATGTGATTAAGCGGTAATAAACTTCTTATTAGGAAATAGCAGACCGTGGTGATGAATCGTTAAAATAATAATAAATACATTTTTCATTGAAATGGGGTGTCTGTGTGCTGAGCTGACCTGTCTGAGAGCCACAGCCACACCAGCGATGGCGTGGTTATGAGGGCCGCCCTGCAGCGAGGGGAACACAGAGAAGTTGACCCTGTCCTCAAGGTCGTACACGATCTCCTTCCCCTTCTTGTCCACCGAGCGAACGCCCTTACGGTAGAAGATGAGGCCAGCCCTGGACAGAACAGACTAATTGACTGACAATGAATTTGAAACCTTTCCTTTTCTCTTAAAATCAAACAAGGTGTCATTAATAGGTTTTGGATTTGTCCCCAACTGTATGACATCAGCCATCTACTGACTACTATTACTACTGTTAAAAACAAGTACTCATTTCCATGTTGCTCAGTGAAGAGGCTCTAATGAGATTTGACTGAAATATCTCTAGCTCTTACCTGGCCCCGCGGAGGGATTTGTGTGTGGTGGATGTGACCAGGTCAGCGTGGTCAAACGGAGAGGGGATGGCTTTGGCTGCCACCAGGCCGCTGATGTGGGCCATGTCAGCCAGCATGTAGGCCTTAATGTCGGTACACAGCTGAGGGGGGAACAGACACATAGTTAGGATTCAAATGTACACCATGGGACAGGAAGGTTTGTATTACTACGTTATTTTTAAATCTCTAGTTCTACATTTTTTAGGTGCAAGACCCTAAATTATCTAAATATATACAACTTAAAGTGATAAGATTAGTAACAGTGTTGGAATAATGGCCCTAGTTTTAGATAGACAAGAGACAAGTTCAGATTATGTCCAATAGAGTCAATAATAACCGCTTGAAGTCTACCACACTCTTTCTCCTTGTTCTCGTTCTGCCTGCTTCAGGGGCGTTCCTGCCGTCGACCTAATATTAAAGTGACTGATTTAGCTTGCTATGAACATTTCAGTGTTTGGCCATAAAAACCTCTCCTTTTCAGTATTTAAACATTTGGGGGCGATGTTCAAAAAAGGTGAGAGTCATACACCGTTATCCCAATATAGATGTGAACACACTCAAACCTCTGGTGTGATGAAATGCGGCACTTCAGCCTCAGTCACTGTTTCATTTAAAATCCTGGAGCAGAGCAAAATGTGAATATTTATTAACTTCTCTGTATATGCTGTAGTATTCTTGATATATACACTAGTACTAGAAAGTATTACAGCTACTATAAAACGTAACTACACATTTAGACTTGTCTTTTTGTCATAGGTGATCCTCTGTATTTTACTTGAATGCGCTTGGCTTCAAATTTAAAATTTGAGATAAAAAAAAGTGATACACAAAAACCTTTTGCTCCAATAATAGAAATGTTACCACCACGGTTAGGTTTTGATAACTCTACATTTGTAAGCACTACCTATCACTTCAAAAAGGGCATATGTTTCAAATCTGAGCTGGTGTTATTACACTCTTCGGCAGTCTTCAGAGGCCCGAAATATCACAATGTAATTCAATAAATCCTTGCTGTCTCTTTCCAGCATTTATTGAAAAAGTCACACACAATAAATAGCTTGCTAACATGCAAATGACTCGTTGGCGAATGATCAGAGCAGTAAACAATCTTTTTAGTGCTCCAATTAATATTCATTATCACGACAATCTTCCTTGCTCCCATATCTAAACTGGATCAGCACATGTTTATTAGATTAAAAGGCAGGCAAGAAGGCAGGGTTACTGGAGGGGGTAAAGAACACGAGAGGGTGATGTGTGCGGTAGCTGATGAACGCCGATAGACAGTCAAACAAATTTCAGATTTAAAAAAAGAAGCTTGTTCCAATCTAGGTAACAACACTGAAAATCTGGAGAGGGGCCCTGCCTGCTGCCATAAAACAGAGAAGAGCTCTACAGAGACATGCCAGGGGGAAATATGGCCCCACTTCAGGTCTAGTGGCAAAGTAGTTACGGTGCTTAATAAAAACACAGCTCTGTAATGGAGGGACACTCCATCGGATGGTACTAGCTAAAGTGAGGCTCTGCAACAAAGGGAAGCAGTCATGGAGGGACTGAAGAGAATCAGAGGGTGGGTATTACAAAACAGATAAAGGGGCCTCTTGTGCACCGCCAAAGAGAGCAGTGAAGTGTAGTTAAAAGTTGCTGCTGTGTTTGCGTGAGTCAGCGCGAGAATCCACACTCAGAGCGGATGAGTAGGCAGCAGAAAGCATCTGTGGTGGTGTGCACAAGTGTGAAAGAGCCGAAGAACTGTTTGTGTCTGGATATGTCGAAGATTGAATGCTCAGTATTTACAGCAGACAGGTTTCTACTGAGGGCAGCTTTTTGTGCAGAATGAGTACTTTTACTTTTTACACTGCTGGATTATTTATTTGACTTACCTAAAAGACAAGAGTATTTATTTTCTTTCTCCGAGTGTGGACAGAAATGATTAAAAATATAGTCTGGATTAATCCTGGCTATCAGTAAGAGGAGCAGGTGTGCCTGACAGTCAGTGCAGTGGAAAGGTTGAGTGAGTTTAAAGTGGACCTATAATGCAAAATATGTCTTTTATACATAAATATGTGTCCCCGGTGTGTCAGGGAACTCAGGCGGCGTCAGAAAATAAAACCCTCATAAAACGTAACTTACGTCACATCGGATGGCGGACCCACGGCACTATCAGAAACGTCACTATCATAATAAATGCCTGACGTGTTTTGGACGTAATATGGTCTTTGTTTACATTAGCAAGCATCGCTTACACTCAGAGCTAACCTGTACTGGAGAGAGCATGTGTGAAGAAGCAGGAAATACAAAAAAGAACTCACCTTGTGGTAAACCAGTAAGAGAGAAAGCCTTTGAGCTCCATACTGTTTCAGGCGTTTCATCTCCGCAGCATTTATTTTAGACAGTATCTGCCGGGCCCCGCATGAGCAGGCATAAGCCCCGCCCCCTCTTTTTATTTATTTTTTTAAAGCTTTATACCCCGAATCAGCACTTTAGTAACAGGAAGGGAAATAGAAGGATATGAGGCATGGCTAGAATGGGTGATCTGTTTGTTATTTTGAGCAAAACACTTCATAGCCATGTCTTTTATATATTTTTATATATCCGAGTCCTATGCTATTGACTAAAAATTGCATGATGGGTGACCTTTAAAATAAGAGGACAAAGCTGGTGTGACCTTCACAATGTAGGATCAGAAAACAGGTAGCAGGAGAGGATGAGGTGGAGCAAAACACACACACACACAAAAGCTGAGTGAGTTTTGAATAAGGAGAGAGTTCTCCATGCACCTTCTTGATGCGGGCGTAGTCAATGAGGCGGGCATAGGCGCTGGTGCCAGCGATGATGAGCTTGGGCCGGAACAGCTTGGCCGTCATCTCCAGCTGGTCGTAGTCTATGAGTCCTGTTGCAGTCTGCGGAGAAACAGAGAGGGAGACAGATTGAGGAGGGGAAAAAAGTGAATATGAGCATATTGGAGGGTGAGTACGGTTCAGGAGGAACGCGAGGGGATGAAAAAAAGTACATGTCAGATATCTTGAGGATCAAGAGTAAACTTATCAACACGAAGAGATTTTTTCCATTTGAAGCAGATGCATTTGAAGTACTTTGGCTACCTTAAAAAAGGGAAGGAATTTATCGAAATGAGACATTTCATCTTATAATATCAAGGAAGAAGATTGCAGTAAAGCACCCCTACTTATCCTAATTCAACCTTTCACAGGTCTATTCAACTGGTGTGATGAGGCTGAACAGATCAGAGGTTGGTTTAGAGACGTTATCTACTCTCGTCATTGAAATAAGCACTTTGAGATATACAGTCGACATCCATTATTCAGGGGATGCATGTCTGAGTCTTGTAAAATGTTGTCAGTCTGGAACTGTCAAATGACCAGTCTGTTGTGTGCCTGTCTGAACCTGCATTTCCAACCCAGTACTCAAAACATGAGAGAGGAGAGACAAACCAGGTGGGGGACAGCCACAGGACGGAACAGGAAGTGAAAGACAAAAGGGATAGAGAATAAGCGAGACAAAGACACGAAAAAGAAGAGAAAATACGAGGAGGGAAAGCTTTATTGAGACAACCTGATAATCTCCCATCTCCAGAACACATCTATGGGTGCCCCCTCGCTCCATCAAGCTGCTCATTGTGAAGACAGAGCCAGTGGTGCTGGCCAGCCTGTCGATTTCCCATTATCTCTCTCGCAGAGGGGTGCTGCCGGCCCATACATCAGCAGGCCTGGACACGCAGACTCTCAGGGCAATCCATCAGCCGCTACCAACACCAGCACACAACTATGAACCCGGAATAAAATACTAAACACTAATATATGAAGCCCTGCATCTGAGTGACCCTGGTCCTACTGATTTTGTCTTAGTTGAAAACAGCACTTTGAATGTTTTACAAACAGTACTCACGTATAGGGCTGTATGTTTGCATTGTGAGTGAAGTGGCCATAGCAAGCACTAGTTGGGCTAAGATGTAGACATCAAATCCCTACCCACACTGCCTTGTGTCATACCCGTGTGGGCAAAAAAGCAAACAGGATTCCCCAAAAAGCGACCATTTGTCCCCTAGATTTTCCTGTGTATTTAAATCAATATCCTGTCATTAAAACATTTTTCAAAAAGACTTTAAGACTAAAATATTTGGCATAATTGTAGATAATGTATTGAAGCTTCTTCGCCAACATAATATCAGCAACATTTAAAAAGATATGGTTTACTGTAAGCAGGAAATATGCTATATGTTTTGGTAATACTGTTGCACAATGGTCTTATGCAGTCTCTTCAGTTTCCTGTTACAGTGAATTGCAAGGATTGCACAAAAAGAAAATTAGACAACACATTGTATTTTTTCCTTGCAAGCATGAACTGTAAACACGACTACAAACTTAAGAAAAGAAACGGACAAAGTTGCGGAGATGATCGATAGTACAACTGAAAGACGTGAGCCAGTGTGCTACAGCACAATAAGCCATGCTCTGCAGACATGGAAGAACCCTGCGCCCCGACACATGGGCAGTTCTGACCAGCAGAACTGCTTCATGTGGAGGTCAAGTCAGAGGTCAAGCTGAGAAACAGCTGACTCTGAAAACCTTCCCTGCGACCATGTTAACAACGAGTATTTTAAACATTAGACTTTAGAAAAACCCTCTTATCTGTCAATGAAAGAGGATAAGACATATTAAAACAGACGTAACAAAAATAAACTAATAATATGATTTAAACCGTTTCAAATTCACACTGTTGTCCCGTTGCGATTTAACTTGTGTACGGTTATTTTCTGGTATAAGAAAGTCCACGACATGTTAGTTGATATCAGTAGCGTGGGTCTCTACTTACGTTTAGCTTGTAAGGCATGGACTCAAAATAGATAGAGGTGGCTGAGATCCTCTTCACATCAGACATGTAGCCATGGGTGAGACTGGAATGAAACAGACGAACATGTAAACAAATGTAAAAAATAGCAAGAATATTGAATTACATTCCAAACTATTTGATTTATGAGGTGCAGATGGCACACTAGTGTTGACCACCAAATAAGCTAGGACAGCTTCAAACAGTGTGGGTGTTATATAGAATAAGTGAAAGAGTGCAGGTGTGATAGCAGCAGTTATTACTCACTGTCCTCCGTCGGGCAGGTCCAGGCCCATGATGCGGTCGTGGGGCTTGAGCACGGCGGTGTAAACAGCAAAGTTAGCGGGGGAGCCGGAGTACGGCTGGACGTTGACCCCCCACAGAGCTGGGTCCAGGTCAAAGGCCTCCAAGGCTCGTTTCTGACACAGCAGCTCAATCTGGTCCACCACTTCTGCTCCACCATAGTATCTGGGTGTAGAACAGAAAATACAGCCTTAGGCCAACAGGTGCACTGATCCTGCATATAAACTGCAAAAGTTAAGTTTTAGTTCAAAAATAAATCTAAACCTTGAATAATGTATTATTTCTTAAGCCAGAGGCCTACAATAAAGACATATTAACACCTTTTAAGGTCATATGGCAAACTTGTTAGCATACAGTTGCCTATGTAAGCATTGAGCAGTCACAGTGTACCATTATAATTCATTTGAGGCAATTTGAAAAATGTGGCCTCAAATTCCAGTTTAGTCATGTGTTTGGTTTCTACCGACGCCTGAGGGAAATATGTGTGTCTTCAGCAGCTACATTCTTCACCAGCTGGTCACTAAAAATGTTTGTATGCTTCTGGTGAGCAATAGTCTACAATGGAATGTCAACAGCAAGCACGTGGCTGAATATTACGCAAGAGGTGAGAGTGAACAAAAACTGTACAATTGAAGGACAAACAGCTAAACAACGAGCTGAATCTCACGATGAAGGTCAGTGGAGCTGCAGATTTCTGTGATAATTCCCGTTAACCACTTCTAAGGAAGACCCCTTTCACATTGTAGCACTTTCACACGCTGTACATCCACATTTCTGCTTATAGCCGATTTAAGTCAGCAGCACTGCCACAGCAGATTTGGGGCATCTCAGGTGAAATTACAGATGAGGAAGCAACAGATGGCTTCTGCACAATCCACTCATTCAATGACATTATCCTTTTGTTTCATTACATTTAACTGCGAAGAGAAGATGAGTAGGATGTTGGGGAGTGGGGGGGAGGGGGTTAAAAATCAAAAAACACATTCAGTGGGAGGGAGATTTATTGTATCAGCTTGTATTACAGGAATACAAATCATGAAATGAGAAGCATTTAAAAACAGGCCAGCTCTCTGTTTGCCTCTGATACAGGATAGGAAATAGGAAACTGGAAATAAAAATCATGCAACTATCAGCCTGGGGTCTGAATTCCTCCAATGTACCCCCTCAGGAATCTTCTTTGGCAAAGAGGCTGTGGGTTATGTGTTGTGTGGTTGGCATGTATTATTTTAGGGCAAGCTATAGAACAGCGTACAAACCAGTGTATGTTTATGTCTGTAACAAATATCCTAAAGCAGAGAATATCAACATAATAAGCTGGGGCGTGGCTGCATAAACACTCACCTTTTCCCTGGGTAGCCCTCAGAGTATTTGTTGTTCAGACAGGAGCCCTGAGCTTCCAGAGCTGCTCGACTGCAGAAATTCTGTGGCGAGAACACACACAAGCAAACACACACTCGGATCAATGGCGCGAGTGGACAGAAGGGACAAGGACTGCAAATTAAAGTCTGTTAAGTGATAGTGAGAAATCCCCCCTCCAGCTAGAGACAATCATTACAGTATTGAACCTGTGGACTTCCATAGACTAACACTCTGCACTTCACAATGCTTATCGCCTCGCTGCTGCAGGATACAAGAAGATAATGTAATAAACTTTTCTGCCCATGCTGAGAAACATTGGTATGGCCTTTCTTAAATCCCTTTGCAATGCATTTTCAAAGAAAAACACATTTAAGTGAGCATGCTTTGTTGCATAAGGGGTAGGGCTGTACCAAAGACTATGAGGCTTTTCAACTTTATTAGTTTGAGTGCAGCATTATGATTATTAGAATTGATTATGTGTGGTTATGTTTTGCTAAGCCGCGTTCAACACCATTGTTAAACACACTCTGTCAAAGGTTCAAAACAACGGCACTAATTAGTTACCTGTTGTGATTTTGGTTAGAAGAGATGGAAAACACATAGAAGAGACGTCGAAGCAACGCGTTTTAGTGGTTATCTCTCTGGAGGATTATTGCTTACTTGGAGTTCCTAATATTGGATATGCTATTAGAGCTAAAACAAGTACCACTATTATTTCGCTAAACTATTTTGTAAAGTCATGAAAACAGTTTCCCCACAATACTTCTATTTTTCAGTACCCTTAAAACACTGTACACGATAATTAATTACACATGTCAAATGTTTAATATACTGTACATCCTGTCTGTTTAACTAACTATGGATGCCTCTCTTGGTATTGCCACTTGACTTACACTCTTTACTGTATATTAACACACTGGCCAGTAATAAAGTCTGACAGTCTAGTCTCCACACTCTCTTCTCTTTGTTAACGTGTATGTGTGTCCGTATGTGCGTGTGTCTTGTAGGTGTGTGTGTGGTTATGCTAATACTTCAACTAGAAGCCAAGAGGAGATCAAGGGAAATAACTGCTTCAATAAAAGCTCTCTGCTGCGTCCGTCTGTCATGCCCACAACTGTGCATACATTACAAAAATAACATTTGCTTCTTAGTGTGTGTCTGCGTGCGTGCTTGTGTGGGTGTATGTGTGTGTGTGCGCTTTAAAACATATGTCTTTTCATTCAAGGAATGCCTGCCTGAGCAGAGTAAGGTGGGGAAGAGGCAGAATGGAGATATCAACTTCATCTCACACTACAGCGGTCCGGCTGTGTGTAGAGAGGCGGCTGATATACTCCACTGAACAACTACTGTGGCGAAAAAGAAACGGGAGAAGGAGAGAGAAATAGCAATACAAGATAAAACCTCTTCTGCTTTTTGGAAGGGCATTTTTTTTTCAATTTCAAATAATTTAGCCTTGGAATGAAAACAAAGAGGAACCCAAATGTTTCTGCATTAACTCAGAGATTCCTGCTTACACAAAGTACTGTATCCAGTGCGTGTTTTCACTATCGAACTAGCTATGTTTGAATAACTTGATGTGAACTTGTCAGAGTTCGTGATGTCCGTTTTATTATTCCTGTTTGAGTCAGAAGGTCACAGTGTCTCTGCCCTAGTAGATACTGAAAATATTTTAAAAAGACCAAATGTACTGCTATAGAATATTAAAACATACAGCAGCAAGATGATTTAGGAATCAACATGAATAAAGAATGCATTTACACATGCTGCAGTGTATGAATAAAGAATGCAATATTTATTGTACTTATGTACTGCATTTATCTACAGCATGAAACCTGATGGACCTGATAAGAGCTTTTCTGTCAATGCTGCCTGCCAGCAATAATATGGAAAAACACATTTGACCAGGATATGCAAGAAGCTAGAAAGTCTTCATTCACTCATTTTGCCAAAAATGAAACTTATGTGATGACGTGTTCTCACCACCTGCACTGCCAACAAACAAGATCGCTGCTTCCAGCTATTACGCCTTTAGTGTTTATTTAAAATAAACTAAATCAGTACAACATTTGTAAAGGATGTTTTTTTTTGCTGACGAAAATATGAACCAGGCTTGGCGGTGTTTTATGTCATCTCCCTTCTCTTAAAGCCCCTTGAACTCCTCTGTGGGTGAACTGTTCAGTTACTGAAACCTTCAAATCACACTCCGTAAACATCATGTGTGAAAGTGACTGACCTCAGATGCAATGAGCTCCAGGCCGCGGCACTGCCGGTCCTTCTCCTTCAGCAGCAGGTCCCACATCTCGGGGTCGTCCTGAGCCAGGCTCTCCTGGCCCGTCCACGGACGCTCTTCATCCACTGAGTATGTGGCGGCGTGGGACTGCTGGCCACGCACACAGAGACGGACGGGGGCTCGCTGGCACAGAGGCTGTGAGCAGAGGAGAAGTCGTTAGGGTTAGGGGGAAGGAGAAAAACTGACAGTATGTTAGTTATATACAGTTTTTACAGTTATCATGAACACATGTTGTAATTATGGATGATTGCACTAAAAAGGGACTAACAAGTTGCAATGGTTTATGTTATTTAACTTCAATCATTTAACTGAAATGCAAATGATCATAGCTTTGACATATGTTTGGTAAAAACATATAGGACAATATTTAGTCTTTGTGTAGCAGCTGTTTTTTTATTTTATCAGGAACATTTAACAAGATTTAAATGTGGGTGTTGAGAACGGAGGACAACAAATGAAACAATATGCATTTGAGCTGTATATTCTCTATGAGGATTGAACTAGTGGGAGCTTCAGCCACAAAAAAGGGATCAGCATGAAATCAAGAGACATGTTTCATCCAGCTTTATTTCTCTACAGAATGTCTTTGATTATTTTTAAATATTTAAGGCAACAGCTTGATTTGTCCTATATAAATGAGAAGACATTTCAAGTCCCCTTCTCTGTTCCTCTCTAATATGCAGCTTGGTATAATTAGAAACTGGTGTGTTTCCATGATATCAATAATCAGCACGGTTGTTCAATTATGCCTCTATCAGCACTTCTACAAACTGAGGGACCGACTTTTACAGCCTCAGTGTAGCGAAGGAGGAATATAGAGAACAGATTCAGCACTTCCTGCTTATCTAATCTGGACTGGGGCTGCGAGTTCTCCTGCTGCTGCTGCTGCTGCTGCAATGCCCCATCATGTGAGTGTGCAGACTCCATTCAATTTTCACTGTCTTTTTCTCTTTAAAAAAAAAAAATTAGACAGGATTCGACAATCCTGTTTGTTCGATGCACTATGCCTGATAATAAAACACTACATTTCTGGCTATGTATTCCATTGAGAAGTTTCTTTTCACTGCCATTTACACATAAAACCTTTCTAGGCCACAAATCATTGTCAGGTAATAAAGCTTTATGTGTGCGCCTCGATGCTTAAGATCTCTGCATGAACCCAGCGAGGGCACTGTGTGGGAGAACACTCCGAAAAGAAGAAAAAAAAATCCCTGACAGGTTGATTGCATTTAGAACAAATTGGCCCTCTCCCATCATTTAATCAACAATATGATGATGACTCTGTTTGGAGATCAATCCCACCACGGCCAACCTATAGTTATCATCTGTACAGGTGTGCAGGGTGAGAAGGAAAACCTCCCTTTAATAGCATCATTAAAAAGTAATTAACACAATGCTCAGTACTGGTTGAGGACACCTATTTGTAAAAACAAAACACAAAAAACGCAATTTACGCTTTATTCCATGTGGTGTAGGAAATGTTTGGGTAATTCATCTTTTGTAGTGGCTTTATTGCACTGTGAACCAACTGCAGTAACTGTAGATTTTTAAGAAAAACAATTAAGAGCATTAATGTTGGGAAGAAATAATAAAAGCTGACCAGCGATAGTCTCATAATTCGACACCCTTTGTTAAAAAAAAAGAAAAAAGGCTAATAAGAGCACTTTATCCTGAGGAGCAGCTTGCAGATAGTTCATCTAGTGCATCGCTGTGAGGCCCATCCTCTCCACTGCTCCTCTTCATCTGCTCCCTGGGGTGGTGGAGGGGGCAGAAGAGAGACACCAGGGGGGAGACAACTGGCACATTAATGGCCGATCCCTAACAGTTTCTACTCTGGCCTTCTGTCACCAGTGGCAGTGTGAATGGTTGAAAAGAGGAGAAGGCCCCTCCTTTGTGCTTTGGAAGAGACGAGGGCCTGGGGAGACAGGTTGGGCAGCCTCTGAGGACGAGTTTCTCGCTGAGAAATCACACGGGTCATTACATCTTGACGGGAACCGTCCTTCGCTGTCTGCACTTCAGCTGGGACTCACCAGGGCTGAGGCAGGGGAAAGCAGTGGCAGGAAACCCAACACAAGCCAACACTGCCATGGTTATAACACTTTTTGAAGACTGCAAAACAGACAAGGTTCCTCCTCCTCCTCGTCCTCGTCTCCACCTTCATCCCGGGATTTATTTTCCCGTCTTCATCCTGTCACTCTAAGCTGCTTAGCACGCTCAGCTGAGAGGCATTCATGTGGCGTTTTTATTACTATGTCTGCAAAATAATTTCAATGGCTTCCAAATAAGACAGCACTGAGCTTAAACAAACACAAAGGTCAGTCTCTGTGGTCGGTCTCTTCACTTTCCTGCCTCATTTCTCAGCCCTGATCATTACGAGAGATTAATTAATGAGCACAAGGTAAACTGATCCAAGAAAAGTGAGAGCCAAGATACAAGCACCAAATATGTCAGAGTGGGACTATTTTTAGGGCGACAGATGATGCTGTCGTTTGAAGGTGAACTTGATGAAAACTGTGCTGTGAAAAGGGGGTGGGATAGGCCACATCAAACTCTGTGCTGAGCACGAGATTATGGCAGAGTCACAGATGCACGGCATCTGCATGACAACGCTAAGGTGATTGTTGGCAGTTTACCTTTCCTGTCAAACATCTGGGCCCAAAGACCAACAACAGAGAATAAAAAAAGGGAAGAAAGAAAATCATTTCATTAATACTAGTTTGGTATTATTTTTTCCGATTTCCTGTAGCAGCTCCTGAGGCGAGTCAATTTTACAGATGACTGCTGTCCATCAGTGGCTATACCAAACAACAATCACCCAGGTAACAGGAGCAAAACAGAAGGGACCAGAGAGAAGAAACAGTAGCGAGAAAAAAAAGAAAGATATGTAAGGTTCAAAAGAAGAAGTGTCAACAGGGCAGCAACATCCGTCGGTCTGACATGTAGTTGCTTTTTTCCCCGTCACTGACTAATAGCTGGGCTGTCCGTTACAAATTGCCCTGTGATTCAGTCTAGATAACACAGACTGAGAAACCTGGATGGGGTGAAGAGGCGTGAAGGGACGGAGTCTCAGTCCAGGGCAGATTCACTCTATTCGGGTCAAAGGATTGTCAGGGTGACAATCAGAGACTTAAGCGATGCCGGCAAAGCCAATCTTTAGGGAGGAGTGGGAGGAACGTTAGCTTTATGCTGTAATCTCTCCACAACACTTCCTGTGATGATGGTGGAAGGGATGCACACTGGGCTTTCATGGTGACTCATGGAGTGTAGATGCATGCTGTGGACTGAACTGTTCACAGATGCTCGTCTGAGAAAACCTCTGCTCACAACCCTCTCATTAGCCCTGTCAAGTGCACTTTAATTCAAACATAATACTTAACTGGGGTTTCCTGCATTGTAAAATCTTGTCTGGACCAAAAAAAAGCAAGTTTGAGAAATTTGGCAAAGTCAGTTATAAAGTTACTTCATATTACCAGTAAAGGGAGGACAGTTTATGTCTGTTTTTTTATTTCCTGGAAATCTAAATATATAGTAAAAAGGGCTATCTGGCAGGATTATCAAACTTGACTAAACTAAGGCTTCAACTAACAATAACTAACATTATCAATAAATCAGATATTTTTCTTGATTAAAATTCATTGTTTTGTCTATCAAATGTCTGAAACTAGTGAAACATTTCTGTAATGAATGTCATTTATTTATTTCATGTAATCGTTTATTTGGCAGGGACAATGCACAGTAATGAACACTTAAAACATTCAAATGTGTCAAGCGTAACAGTGCCAGATTTAGCTTTGAGCTAATTCTAACCCGCCAGTTCCTCTCACATAAAAAACATTTAAGAAAATTACATTTTACAAACATAGCAAAAACTAAATACATGATATGCAAAAAGTGCAAAAGAGCAAGAGCAGCATACACAAGTATTTACCACATGGCAGTACAATATAGCAGCTACGACATATAAAGTGCAAGAAAAGATAAAAATGGAGATACCCCTGTATTAAAGTGCATTCAGCGGTGATTTGACGTCTGTTTGTTGCTCAACCATTCTTTGAGTTGACCTTTAAAGCTATTGAGAGTGGGACAATCCCGTATCTCAGTTGGGAGGCTATTCCAGAATGAGCTGCCTTTAATGGAGAGGACATTTTGTCCAAAAGTGGTCCGTCTGCGGTGGACCTCACAGTCTCCTCTGGTTTCTGACCTAGTGCAGCGTCCAATGTGTTTTTTGTGGATGAATTCCCCTAAGGGAAGGGGGTCCATGTAAACATTTATACAAAAAACACATACAAATTTGTCAAGGCCTTATGTGAAACTTGGAGTAGCTTGATATTAATACAGAATATATAAGAGCAAAACACGCGTCCCATCCTCTCTTTTTTTAAACAATAGACAAGGTTGCGATTGGTATGTTTTCATGAAAATTATAACTTATTTTATAAAATTCTCCTCCTCCTCCGTCCTGAGCTGCTCTGAACACATACTCTGCATGTTTTAATTGAATACAGAAAACGGTTGTGTGTGCTGTGTTCATAAAGATCGAAGCATTAAGTAAACAAAAGTCAACAGGACTCTTGTACAGGCAGAAGGGTTTTTCATAATGGGATTAGTTACATTGTTTTCTTAAAAACAGTATCATCTTCAGCAACAGATCTACCATTTAAAAAAAGTATCAAAGTGGACATGTCCACATCTTTAGAACAATAAACTGTTAATAAATTACCAACAAATTACACCATTAAACTGTCAAACCGGATGTCAGCCGCCACTAGAAATAGCTGCACAGGACTGTAAGCTAACTCTCTCTCTCACACACAACCTGTGAGGAGGACACTGCATGCCGGAACCACAAATAAAAAAAGAGTCTTGTGAGTCCTTTTGAAATTCAATTACGATGCACACTGAACCGATTACCACCAATAGGAAAAGTATGCAAGCACGTGAATAATTCAGTTTAATAGGAAACTTCAGACAAACTGACATTGACTAATACAATTTGGTCTGAACTCATGCCACATACATTGGCAAATATTTGGTATAGTTGTTTCTGAGAAACTACAGAACATTTCAAAATGGGTCACTTCATAAAGTGCAAAAATTAGGATAAAAATACCAATAGACCACCTTTTTTGTCAGCAACTTAATCACCCTGATTCAGGCTCAACGGATCCAGTTAAATAAAAAAAAGATGTCAAACTATAAAACTTCACATAACTTTGAAATTATCACTTGTCAACTGATATATAATCAAATGTTATTTATGAAGTTTAAGTGGACATACTTTTCTTCACAGTGAATAATAAATACAATTGAAGGTTATAATGTTCACATTTTGAGAAAGGTATTTGTCTTTGTTGTAATGGTCACATGGATGGCTGCAGATTGTGTTACTGTGAAATATTGTTGTATCTTATGCATGAAAAAAAACAAAATAAGTTATAGTTTCATTATTAGATTAAGCTACCTAATAAACTGCAAGTGAGTGAAAAAGGTAGACCTTTGAGCTTAGATTCACCATAAATAAATATTTCTTAGGCTGACATTATCCTTGTAGCTACCCTAGTTATTATTGCACAATCTGCTGAAACTATGACTATTGCTTTGACACAAATGCATAAACTGCCAATCTGCTGACACTAATGAAAAATTACTATTGCTTTGACCAATCAGCCTGATGTTTTACATAATTGTTTCAAAGTAATAAGTTACTATTTTCTCGGAGCTCTTGCTGTATATCAGCCGTATTTTGTACTTTGAACGTTATTCAGGGCCCTTCTGTTTATCACTGGCTGATAACCCTCTCTGCAATGTGTTATCTGCATACAATCACCATTACTGGAACACTTAATTTTACTTCATGTAACCCCTTTAAGTGAGAAAACAAAACAAAAAAGGCATAATGGTGATAAATATCAAATAAGGACATACAGATACCGTAAATATAAACGAAAAGACAGATACTAGTAGCTAAACCTAAAGTTTTTTCTGATAATCCGTGATGTTTTCCCACATGATGAAACTGAGCAGTCGCTGTTGCATCATTACGTGGCCACTACAGCTGCAGCTATGTAACATGCACTGACAGTCAGCTAGCTTATCAGCTAACTAACAACCGTCATAATGTGAAATATGCAATCAAGACGAAATAAATGATAGTTTATGCTTCACTGCTGCAAATACCTATACATTTGATGACATGCTAGAGCCCAGGGGAGACATTTAGACACCAACGCGTGTTGAAACTCAAAGCTAGCTAACAGTTCAGCCGTACAGAACGGGGGCGGTTGCTAAGACACCTTTTAAATAAACAATGACTTAAAAACTGTTCTTTATGATACACATACCCGTGTGAGTTGTCTGAGAGCGAAGGACAGCATGGTTCCAGTTAAGGGAGGAAGAAGCAGCACGGCCAGGCGACTCACCGCTGTCAGGCTTCAGAAAGGCAGCTTGGAGTAGTTGGCAACGCTGGCTACCTTTTTCCGGCCGAAAGGGATGCTGGGAATTGTAGTACGTTGAGAGAAAATTACACAAGCATGACATTTGAAGATTACGAAATACGTTTACGAAAATTAATGAATTAAGTTTACCAAAACTTTCATAATAAAGATCCAAAGAGGTTCCGAGTTTTAAATATATCACCATATGTATTATTGATAAGCAGTGGTGGACAGTAACTTTACCTGAATATTCTCAGTTGACTTTATACTTCTACTCCACTACTAGAAGCCATATTGCACTTTTTACTCCACTACATTTATATGACAGCTTTTAGTTAATAGTTACTTTTTAGATTTACATTATTAGCTAATACAAAAATATAAACTGATTATTAAATAAACATTTACATATATCTATCTATAGATAATATCCAGCAGAAGTATTTAAATATATTACATTTAACTCAATTTAATCATTATAGTAACCCAGTAACTCAAAAGACTATATACTATACTCACTATATACGATTCTGAAATGTGCCATTACGCATGAGGAGTACTTTTTTCTTTACATATATTTTGACAGCAATCCTTTTGCACTTGTAGCCTACTCAATTAAGATTTTGAATAGAGGACTTTTAAGTAAAAACTACTTTTAAACTTTAGTATTGCTACTTTTCACTCAAATAAAACATATTCTTCTTCCAGCACTGTTAATAAGTCAGTTATTGTGCGCCCTCAATAATCTAAGTAAAGTTACAGTAGATGTCGGTTGGCGTTATCAGTACGTTTTTATATAATTTTCTTCCAAAGTATGTGAAATCTGTTTTTGGGCCAAAAAGTAGACCTACCCATTTCGCTAATTTCTTGACTTTTTCCGACGCGCTTGCATTTAAATCCGGCTCACCGTTTCCCCGTCGCTCTGTAGCTGGCCTGTACCACTACACCTGCTGTCTTTGGAGCGTCTGCCCCCCACCTTTCTTTCACATAATGGTATGATCCTAGTTTGTCCTCGCATATGATTGGCCACATGCGGCTGAAGATTGTGTTCTCCCCGACGGGAGTCTGCTCTATAGCGGCATCTCGCGATCGGCGTGTTGGAGACCTCTGAATTAAAGTATCAAGTAACCTAAAGTCAGAGGGCTCAAGTCCAAGTCAAGTCCCGAGTCATTGGTGTTCAAGTCCAAGTCGAGTCGCAAGTGTTTTGTGATTTTGTCAAGTCGAGTCTCAAGTCATCAAATTGGAGACTCGAGTCTGACTCGAGTCCAAGTCATGAGACTCGAGTCCACACCTCTGCTGTACCCTACTGACTGAGCCACTGCCAGACTGTACTGTACTGTACTGGGGGCTCTGTTTGGAATTTGGCATCTTTGTGCCTGCCCTAAAGGTCTCCTATTATGCTACTTTTAGGCATACATTATGGGTCTCAGATATATACAAATATATAAAAACATGTCTGTGATGTGTTTTGCTCAAAATACCAAACAGATCATGCATTTTAGACATCCCTCATACCCCTCTGTTTCAGGCCTGTTAGAGAACTACAGGTTCGGGGTCCTTAGCTTGAAAAAGCTAAGATGGAGCTAATGCCTGCTCAGAATTCTACCGGCAGAAAAGCTAAATGCTGCCATGATTAAATGCCGTATCATGTTCCAAACCACATCAAAGATTATTTCTGAAACAGTATGGAGCTCAAATTCTATTTATTTGCTGGTTTACAACAAGGCGAGTTCCTTTTATTATTTCCTGCTTTTTTACACACATTCTCTCCAGTACAGGTTAGCTCTGAGTGTTAGCGATGATTGCTAATGTAAACAAAGACCATATTACGTCCAAAACACGTCAGGCATTGTTTCTGATAGGGCCGTGGGTGTAAAGCCAGCCCACATTTCCGATATCGGACGAAAATATGGATCAGCTCCGTTGTACCCCCGTTTTTAGAGATTTGGGTGCGAAGGAAAAGAGAGAGGGTTTTATTTTCTGACACTTTGTGAGTTCCCTGACACACCGGGGACACATATTTATGTATAAAAGACATCAAGAAGTGCATTTTGCATGATAGGTCCCCTTTAAAATTGGGGTCAAGTGACTAAAGTATTGCAGTTCTACCTTCTGGTATCGCCTCAGCTCGCCTAAAATCTTGGTCGTAGTTGTATAAAGAGAATTGCTGGGACTATCCCAGACTTTTGCCAATAGAAAAAAAAGAAAAGGAGCAATTAGAGTTAAATTAAAGCTGTGCCGTATCATGCAGTGAAAACAGCAATGAATAATTAAAAGTCTTTGTCCAATATGGTTAAATGTTTGAATAAGCAACTGCTAGTATCAACTCTAAATGTGAATACAGTTCAAATTATGCGGGTACATGAACTGCTGATTTAGAACCTTTTTATTAGAGATTCCAACATATGTGTTCACATGGGCACTAAACTAAGTGATAAGATGTGCGTTTACATGCCCCAAAGTATTTAATCACAATATAAAACTGTTTTGATTTGCTCCAAGTGTTTCCAACCATAGTGAAGCTTCTCATCAGTGTTCTGTGGTACACAGCTATGATTTAAAGGTCTTCTAAATGCCAACAAAGATTTAAACCTTAGGAAGGAACAGATATGTGGTTAAAAAGTGTTATGCTATGAGTTCTCAAACCGCCCCACCATGTAACTCCCACTCTAAAGATAAACTCTTATCCAACCACCTTTTATCTATTTCTTTTTTTCCGCCTTCTTTTTCCCCTGAAACTCTGTTTAAAACATCATCTGATAATAAAGTGAGTTACAGTATTTGACTATTAAAATCTAGTGTGACCCAGTTTCCACTGTGCTGTGTTTTACCTCTCTGCACAGTATAGTATTAGATAATGAAGTGTTTGCTGTGAAATATTATGTAAAAGCCCCGCAGGATACTTTATCACGTCTGGACAAATGTATTTGTTTCTCCTCCCTTTGAGCTCATATCGTTGTGTTATTACGTCGTTTTCATTTTTGCTCCGATGTTTTATCTCTGAACTACATTCATACAGGACATGGATTTGTTGTGCCTGGGAACTTATTAATTCAGAGGTGTGATACATGGCAGGGTGTGCAGCGGCTGCTGACAGGAAGACTCAGTTTCAGATTCTTGCAAGAGAGAAAGACTGCCATTCGGAAGTCGTCTCCAATAAAGGGAAGCGGTATGCAGAGGAAGGGCCATCAACCAGCGCAGTGCGTCTCTGGAGGGCCGCTTCACCACTGTCAGGCCTTTATGTATGGACTGTAATGTGCTGTGTGAAATGCAACGGTTCCACAGGAGAACTACACAAATCTAACTTCTCTTTCATGCTAATAGTCCTATTGTGAACCCGGAAAGATTAATGTAAGAAATATATAGTACGGGTCCCCAGCACATAGAAACTGCCGGATGCTAACTTGCATATGGGCAATTTATGCTAACATAGTCATGCAAGTTAGCATTGGGCAGTTTCTATGTGCAGGTACCCATAGTCCCATACGTTACATTTCTAACATAAAACGTTGGTGTACTTAACATTCCGGGTTCACTTTGCTGGCAACACTTCAATTAGTGATGAATTGGGCGATAATGGCGACATGTTTCAGCCTTGTCCTTCGCGCTTGAGAAGACACGTCAGTCAAACTTTTCAAAACAGCAATGCATTGCCATCTCAAGTATTTTGTTCACTTATCAAGGCGGCACACTTGTAAAATGTTCCGTGATGACACAGAACTTTGAACAGGCAAGTGAATGTCAGCGTGCCAGTTATCAGACGACAGGAGAGGATAGGAATGTTCCCTTTGTGACGAATGACTGAATAACAACAGTCACCTTTTGTAAGGAAGATAGAAAATGTCGCAAGTGTCAAGCTTTGTAGTGAATTGCAAAACATTTCTTGTGTCCACACATTCCGTACTGTGTAGATGTGTTCTCATTGCAGGATTTACCACCTGATGGGAGTCACAGTCACACCATATGCTGAGGAGAACCTGTTGAACTAGTGTTATGGAGCATCAAAAAGGGAACATGTTGACTGAGGGACTGAAGACGAGGCTGTCTTCACACCACAGGCCTCCGTGCTGCGGCTCGTATTAGTTTTTTTTCTTTTTAGCATATATTTTCAGACATGACCCATATTTTAAATTGACACTGTTGTTTGGTAGTATGACAAACCTCCCATGGTCATGTTTCAAGACGACCAGGCAAAGAAATAGCACATTTCATGCAGGTTTCATAACATTACATATTTTTCTGAAAGTGTTATCATTAAGACAGGACTCCTCTACTTTCCGATGAAATACTTAAATGTTATTTTACTCATTAATTTGCTGTGCATATATATATATGTATTGCCATAATATTATAATCTGAATTCAATGAACGTTTTTTTTAGGTAAAATACTTATTAATTATGAAAGCCTATATGTACAATATATAACAGTGTACATCAACTACGATGGCGCAGAGGATGGCTGCCACTGTCTTGTGGTCCGCTTGTATTCTGCGTTAATTCAGATTGTACTATTAGTTATACCATGGTCTTTCAACAAGAGAACAGCTCCTAAACAGGGGTGTAGTGCTATCTTACCGGAGCGCACCTATGACTGGCGCATGCATGCATGCGCATTGCGCACGGTTGTGGCATGACCACCCAAACACAACCATATGGACATAGGTTACTATATAAAAAGTGTGCAAATGTATTTAGTATCCTATCCATGTGAACTTGTTTTATATGGGGGATGGACCTCACATCCTCTAGTTCAGGGGTCTGCAACCTTTTTGACCAAAAGAGCCATTTTGCTCCTTTTTCCAAAACATTTTTTTGTCTGGAGCCGCAAAACATATTTCATAGCTTGATAGATAATAAAGTTGTATTTATTGTTATATCAGACAAAAACTACAGTTTTTTTGCATTTATTAGGCTATTTATTACATTATATAAAACTGTTAACCTCTAATAAGAAACAAAGAACTCCTATAAGGAGAATTAAAAAGAATACACAGGCCTACTTTAAAATAAATTAAACACAG